TCTTCAGCAATCATGTCAGGAAGGTGAGCAACATGGAATGCCAATTTAATAGAACAAAGTCTTCTTGCATTGAGGAAGTACTTGAGTGGATTCCCATTGTCCATCTGCTACCTTAATACTAAACCTATAAATATATGCACATAGATCTATTTCCCCATCATCATATATAAACATATTTACAGATGTACATGCCTGTATTTAGGCCTCTATAAATGCCCTTTGCCTCCTAGTCCTTTCCTCTATTTCCTTTTACTTTCCTCTCATTCCACTATCATGCTCAGCCTTCATTTGGGTTTCAGTAATTCCTCTCAGTTTCATTGCCCTTGATCACTCCCTACCAGGCCTCCCACACTATCCTTGCCACTGGTTTTGAATCACTCGTTGTTCCCTTGTCCCTGGGTTGGTTAACACCACTTCCTTTCTCCCACCTTCCCCTCTCTGGGGACCAATGGTTCTGGAGGAATGTTGGGTTTTTTGGGGGGCTATATTACTAAATAACTTTATTGGGGGCTCCTACAGCTCATAATCCATACATACATACGTTGTGTCAAGCACATTTATACATATGTTGTCATCATTTTCAAAACATTTCTTTCTAATTGAACCCTTGGCATCAGTTCATTTTTCCCCTCCCTCATGAACCTTTTATAATTTATAAATTATTAATTTTTTTCATGTCTTGCACCAACCACTGCTGTCTACCTTCACCCACTTTTTTGTTGTGCGTCCCCTTGGGAGGGGGGTTATACGTAAATCATTGTGAAAAGGAATTCTTAAACCAATTGACACAGATGATTCTTTGAATATTCCATATACCTTCTTTTGGAGATTTGGACTAGTTTCAATCCAACTGTTGACTTTTCAGTACATGCCATAGCTACTCAGTCTACTTCCTCCTTCAGCAGCTTAACTTCCTTGATTAAACACTTGGCTGCCTACTAAGACATTGGCGATTTGAATCCAACAGCCACTCTTCAAGAGAAAAATGTGGTAGCCTGCTTTAATAAAAATTACAGCATTGGGACAGTTCTACTCTGTTGCTGTACGGTCATTGTGGATCAGAATTGATTTATAGAAGGAATACTCTTCCATGAGTCCCCTTTGGGTGGTACAATTAACCACTTAACTACAAGAGAAAGGCTGGTGGTTTCAAACCCACCTATAGACACCTTGTTTCCAAACATTTATACCCTTGAAAGTCCTATGGAGGCGAGTGTTACTCTGTGCACATGGAATCCACATGAGTTGGATTCAACTCGAGAGCAACTGGGTGGAGAGGGGTACATCTGTTGGGGAGAATGCTATAGATTTTCAGTCCTGATAAAATTTTCCGTTTGGAGATTCCAGGTGGGCAGTAAATAGGCAATATTGAAACATTCTCCAGCATGGCTGAAAGCAAGGACTTCTCTGGGAGAGGAGCATCAAGATGCCATTCCTTCACTCCTCATGTCGTCATGTGACATTTATGTTGATTACATGACACAAGCCATCAAATGGAAGCAATTTCTATGAGGAGAAATATCCTCAAATAAAACTCTGAAAAAGTCATTAGTTATGCCAGTTAATCCCTTTCAGTATTTCTTCATTTACCTAAAAATGCACATGTAATTTTATTTTACTAAGTAATGCTTATCACAAATACTGATTTTTAGAATGATCCCAATATATTTGTATTGCTCATAATTGGAATTGACTTTGATTTGCTTTTTTCTCTTTTCTTAAACAGGATGCTATAACTTTCCATGTATCCGTCCAAGATGACAATAATATCATTGTCTCTTTGGAAGCTTCAGATGTCATGAGTCCATCGTCTGTTTATGTTGTGAAGATAACTGGCGAATCCAAAAATTACTTCTTTGAGTTTGAGGAATTCAACAGCACTCTGCCACCTCCTGTTGTTTTTAAGGCCAATTATCATGGACTTTATTATATAATCACGCTCGTTGTGGTAAATGGAAATGTGGTGACCAAGCCATCCAGATCAATCACTGTTTTAACAAGTAAGCATCTTGTGTGATAATGCTTCTCGTGTGTGTGTGTGTGTGTGTGTGTGTGTGTGTGTGTTTAATATTTTATTTTTAGTGAAAAGATAAACAGCAAACCCAGCTCCCATCCCATAGTCTCTGGACTTAATGATCCATGATATTGGTTACATTCTTCGCGATGTACCAACACCCTCATTATTTTTGTTCTATTTGTTTTACTTCCATTTACTTAAACTTCCTTCTGTTTACCCCTCTGCCAGTCTCCCCCTCTATGTTTTAAAACAGCTATTTTGATTATATATGTATATAAAGAGAGACACATAATACATGTATAAAACATATATATTACAATATTCAAAGGTGACAATCCTTACTTGTTTAGCTAAACTGTTATTTAACTTAAAGGGAGCTTCAGAAAACAATCTCGATCTAAGTTTTGAAGAAAAACTCAGGACCACAGTCTTGGGAATGCTTAGTTTTAATAGATCCATTTGGTCTAGATACTTCTAGAATTTGAATTCTGTTACCCATTTTCACCCTTTTTTCAGGATTCATCTCTGTTCCTGGTCAAAGGGTTTAGCAATGGTAACCAGGCACCATTTAGTTCTTATGGTCTAAAGATGGAGGAAGCAGTGGTTCATGTAAATAACAAATCTTGTCGTCTTGTTCCTGCTCTGAGTTTTATTTCCTCTTATTTCTCTTTTGAATAAAGTATCTTCAATGGCGGCTTGTCAGCTTTTAAGACTGCAGATTATACTTAGGCAATTGGGATGTAGAGCATAAACTTTTAATAATTATACAAGTATCCTGCTAATCGATTGGTTTATTCCATTAGGCCATGGTACTAAACCCATGAGACTGTGACCAAAGCCTCTAAACAAAGAACTGCTCCCACGAGGTCATGGTTATGTCTAATTAGCACCAGTTCTTCTAGTAGCATGCTCTTCCCCCAGTCCTTTTGGGTTTTTAGTTTTTCTTTTTGGGGTTTTTTTGGTTAATGTTGTTTTTGCAAAACCACACACAACCTAACCTTTGCCCATTTCCCCCTTTTCCCTTTGTACAGCTTATTGACATAAATTGCATAAGTCAAGCTGGGTAAAAACTTCACCCACCTTCGGGGCTACTTTCCCCATTACTGCCAGCAATGAAGGACTGCAACCTAGGGAGTAGCTCTGCCCAGGCCCCACCAGTCCCCAGGACCTCTAAGGGAGATTGGTTTCCGTGTGCTCATCTGTCATGTCATTTCGTAAAAGTGAGAACACACAACACGTGTCTTTTCATAGTTGACTGCTGTTTCTTTGTCAGATGGGACACTAATCGAAAGACAGTCATCCCAAAATGGCTATTGTAAGCAAGTTCCAGAGAAAAGTGAATTGGGAAATGATAGATCTAGGCAGCAGATCTAGGTTTACAAGTTCCTATAATACAAACTTACTATGAATACAAACTAAATGCAAATGATTTCAATGTTCTGCTATAAATACAGCATATTCCCTATGTTGGATGATGTTCTACCATTAACTTTTTGTGAACCACAAATTTATTTTAAAGCAATAAAAATAAACCTCGCTGGGGTAGTAGATTTGGGGACTGAATGATACCTTTAGAATTGATTGATCCATGTAAGTTTCTGCTATGTTAAGTAACTATGTGATCATAGCTAGTGTATTGATCCCTTAAAAACTTTTTATTGTTAATTAGTTGAAAATTTAGTGTGTTGATTTTTAACCAGAACATGTCTTATAAACCCACTTGGCCCTTTAAACTTCAATGGCCAGTGGAGTAAATCCTATTAACAATCTTAAGAGTTGCTTACCTGGAGAAGATTTTCATTTCACTCTCTACTATCACATTGTCAAATAGCAAGTAGCTCTATGTTGAGGTTTGGTAGAAAAATGAATCTGCATGGGGTGGTAGATTTATCACTCACCATCACTGCCATGGAGTCAAGCCAACTCATAATGACCCTGTGGGATAAGGTAAAGAAGCCCCTGTGGATTTCTGAGATTGTCACTCTTGGTGGGAATAAAAAGGCTCATCTTTCTCCTGTGGTGTCTTGTTTTCAAACTGATGACCTTTCGATTTAGCTGTCCAACGCATAATCCACTAGAGTGATTTAATCACTCTTACAAGTTTGTCTGTTTTGCTTTTGCTCATTGTTCTTCAGTGCAAATCTTCCACTGGTTGCTATGTTTAAGTGGCAGCTCTATTGGACCACTCTGGCCACAGTTCAGGACAAGGTCATGATGGTATTATCTGTTAAGATAAAAGGAGAGAGAAACAGGAAGAAATAGTGACTATGTGGAAATGAATTTAAATTCACTAGATTGATAGGCTATTCGTGTGGGAGTACTGAGTCAGTATAGTCAAGAGCTGAGCAAGATTTAAGGTTTCCGTTTCCTTCGGTTCATCACAGATATGAAATTCTTTTTGTGATGGACTGCTGTTAACTAGTGTTTAATGTGGATCCAGGAGTGATAGAAGTTGTTGGTTTTTTATTGTTGTTGTTGTTGCCATTTTATCAGACCTTGAGCTTTGTTTAATTAGGAATAGCTGAATTTATACTCTGGGCTGCTAACCTCAAGGTCAGTGATTTGAAACCACCAGCTGCTCCACAGGACCAAGAAGGGCTTTCTAAGCTTTCCTGTAAAAATTTAGTCCCAGAAGCCCACAGGAGCAATTCCCCTGTGTCCTATAGGGTTGTTCTAAGCCAGAATCCACTTCATGGGAGTGAGTGATGTTCGTGATCAGGCAGCAGGATTCTTCGTTCTGGACCAGTTTCGATTGTCGGCATCCCATGCCCTGCCTTGTGTGACAGTCTCACCATGGCCAGCCCTCATTAGCCCTTGACAGACAAAACTTGTCTCGAGTCTGTGAAGGGTCTTAGTTGGGACATGGTTTTCGGCCTCCTCCCAAGCAGTAGCCCACCTCTGCTGTCTATAAGTACAGAACCAGTGGCTCCCACCCTTCCCCCACCTCCATGGAACAGGTTTCTCTATCAGAAATACAGATGTTTGCCCAGGAACTGGAAGAAAACAATGCCTTAAAACCTCTGCCAATGAAAAAGCAAAACAAAAACCCTGCTAATGGTAGAGACCAATCTGGGGAAGCAAGTCTCTTGATGGGGCCCGTTATCGCCTGTACATCCGAGGCCCTGAAGCAGGGCTCATTCCAGTCTCTGAGCTGCTCCCAACCCTTCTCTTGAGCACCAGGCCAGGGCTTAGGAAAAAGCTGGGGACTAAGTGTGGACTCCATTTGTGTCTGGGACTCCCGTTATTCTAAACCAATAATAACCTAGAACTTGAGGATGACAGATGCATTCTATATCTGCACTGTCAATATGGCAACCTCTAATTTTAAATTTTATGTAATAAACTTCCACTAAATTTCAATAGCCCCATGTGGCTAGTAGCTACCCTAGTAGACAGAGTAATTCTAAACTATTCTTGACTGCATCAGCCTTCTTCAATTTGGTAAAATCTGATTTCTTTCTCCCCTGCTTCACCATTTCTTCTTATCCTCCACCAGAGAGGGAATGGTGTCTGTCTCTTCCCTCCTCAGGGACGTTTGTCCCCTTGTTTACCTTGCAATCTCACTTCCCTGATAAGCAAGGTTTTGCTTTTAAGGGATATTGGACTTGTTCTTATTGTCGGGATCAGAGCGACATTGGCTTGCAGCTTTTTACATCTTACATGGAATTGGAAACATGTACCAAAGATTAAAAAATCAAAATGACTCAATGATAGTATATTGTCTCTTTCCTTTTATCTCATTTGTGAAAGTCCAATTGCATGGTCTCAGATTTTAAGACCAATAATAATAGATTGGTAACAAACACTGGAGATTCATGTATAGTAGTTATGTGATGCTAGGCATGAGATGACAGTGACATTTGAATTTCAGCTTTCACTTGCATCAAAGAGGGAAATGAAGTACATGGTTGCTAAGATTACTATTGAATCTAGTGATTATTGTCAGTTAACGATGTATTTCTTTTACATCTTTATTTTTCTAATGAGTCATTTTTTAAGTTCAGAAGCCATTTGTAGTATTTGCTTAGAGTTGACACATTTCTCTTGAGAATAAAAGGGCATCTTTGTTGAGGTCGTTTATTGTGTGAGAGACACTTGTCTTGATGAAATAAGCACTGACAAAGCAATTGACCCAGGGGGAGTCCTTTGCTATTTCCCTACAGTTGTTCTGAGCCTGGCGCTATCAGAGAAAACTGAGAAACAGGGAAAAGGATACATTCAACACAACTGAGGAGTGTGTCCAATTCAAAAGAGAGTCACAACCCTTAGGCTCCAACACCCACTTCATATTTCATTGACTAAGAGCCTAGAGTGTTTTCAGTGCACTCTATGAAGACAGGGTAGTTTCTCAATAGATAAAATCATAGATGGAACAATTTCTTAGAAATTGAGGAAATACTCTATACACACAATGAATGGCTTCTCTTTAGCAAAGTCCTAAAGGGAGTAGCTGCAAACCTTGCAGAACACACAGAGCATAACTCTAGGACTATAATAATATTCTATGAAAATCTGTCATCAGCAAACACAATCCATGAGTGTTTATTCTTTTACCCTACAGTGATTGAGTACACTCTTTACATCCTGTCCTAGGTGCTAGAAAAATAAAGACAAATAAAAAAGCTCCATGCACAAGGTTATTACACAATAGTGGAAAAAACAAATAAGCAAACCATTACAAAACTATAATAAATGCTGTAAGAGAATTATGGAGGGCGGTTGGTCTAGACTTCCTCAGGAACATTGTGGAAGCAGCACAGAAGAAATAATCATTGAAAATTATGGAAAATCTTCAAATGGATGAAATATAGCGAGTACTCTACTTAGTGTCAGAAGGACCTGTCTGAGTGAATGAATGGAGTGTGAACAGCATGGCACACGGGGAGAGCTGTAGGTCGATAGTTAGCATCTGTAATGCCAAAATGCAACAGGAAATATCCCTAGAAAAGTCAGGAAAAAACTAGACATGTTGCAGAGGAATTT